GCCCAGGAGGAGCCTGTGAACCAGAGGAACTGTGCAGAACCCGTGTGGGAGCTCACAGAGCCCGTAAAGCCGAGCGGGTTCGGCCTCTGGATTAGACTGAATTTGTTCCCAGAATTTCTGGGATGTTTCTGTGGCTCCAGGGCTGTCTGCACCAGGGCTGACATTCCCAGCTCTGACAGGCTGTGCAAAAGCCCCGGATTTGGGGGAAGGAGATTTCCCATCCCTTGTGCTGCTCCTGACAGGCTTCTCTTTGCACCTCATCAGCACCTGAGAAACCAGCCCAGGTCCCCAGGAACTTTCCAGCCTGGTTTGGCTGCAGGATTCACTGGGAAAATGCCTCCAGCCTGGCCTTGGGCACTGCCAGGGATCCAGGGGCAGCCACAGCTGCTCTGGGCACCTGTGCCAGCACCTCCCCACCCTCAGAAAGGGCAGAATATTATTTAATGCCACAAAATTGAGGTGAAGCATTAGGAATAACTTTCCCTCCCCCTTGACACTTCAATGTGTTAGTGCACAAACATGCTGGGTTATTGTTAAAGGCTTATCTGTGCTGCAGCTACTGATGCCAACCCTCCTGTAATTATTTGACTTCTGGGTTATGGTGGAATTTCAGGAATAGCCCAACACTGAGCTGGGCTGGCACAAAAATCATTCCAGTTCCTGGATTCAGCATTACTGATCAATAACAACCAGAAAACAAAATACTGCTCATGCTTTTGGGGCTTTGAGCTGGTCAGCTCTGCTGCTGTTGTGGATTCTACAGAAGGTGGATGTTTATTGCTCCAAAGGGTTTGTGTCCACCAGTGGAAAAGGAAAAATCCAAGGGAAAAGCTTTTCCCTTCCTTATTGTGGCATGAGGGAAAATTATTGTTTATTCTGTCTGGGGACTGCATGGCCAACACAAAGGCACCCTCTTGGTGCTCCTCAAAGAATAACTGCTCCAAAATAACAAAAAATTGCTGTCCTCAGATTGGATTTAAAGCCCAGTGTTTGTTGGATCATTCCTTGAAGCTGCTGCAAAAGTCTGGGAATGTAAAACCCACCATGGAGCAGAGATTGGGATGCTCTGGGATGCAGTGTGTGTTTTCCAGAGATGAAGATATTTATAAAAAACCTTCAGCTGCTTTCCTAAGAGCAGAGAGAGCCTCCAGCAGCAGGACTGGTGCTCTGGGTGGTAAAAGGATGTGATGGAGGATTCAGGTTATGCATGGGCTGGGAGAGCTGAGGCAAAGTAAGCGCATTTCTAGAGCAGGCAGGTGATGTTCCTGTCAGATATTGGATTTGAGCCTCCCGTTGTCTCAGCCTTGCAGCCAGGATGTGCTCAGAGGGGAAATCTGCCCGGGGGAGGAGGTGTGGGTGTCATCACCAGCCCTCAGTGCTCCCTGCACCCAGCTCAGCTTCTCCATTGCTTCCCTTTCC